TGTAACTGTAAAGATGAAAATTAAAAAAGACTTTAAAAAAGAGAGAATATAATCAGTCTGGTGAAGAGAGCAAAGCAGTACACTAGCTTCTGTGAGTATTTTGGTCTGTTCGTTAGAAGAAACCACATCCCAAAATTGTAAAGAAAAAAAAATGTATATATATAATTAAATACTATATATGTGTCTGTGTATATATATATATATATATACACACATATATATATACATATATATATAAAGTTAAATACAATCAAAGGAAAGAATGTAATTGTAAAAATGAAAATTAAAAAAGACTTTAAAAAATAAAATCAGAAATTGGTTGAAAAGAGGAAAAAATTAAAATTGAAAGACTAAAGAATCATGAGAAAAAAACCATTAAGTTTTATATACTATTTTCCCCTAATGCTGGAGTTTTGCAATTCTTTGTGATTGGTAAACTTAGTCTTAGCTGGATGTTCCTGCTGATCTTCTGGGGGAGGGGCCTGTTGTGCTGATTCTCAGGTATCTTTGCCTGGGCAGAACTGCACCACCCTTGCCAGGGGGCCAGGCTAAGTAAGTTGTTCCAGATTGCTGTATGTAGCTTTTGTTCCCTGAAGGCTTTCTGTGTGGCTTTAGAGGATGAGAATGAAAATGACGGCTTCCCAACCTCCAGCCCTGGAGCTGAGAGCTCCCACCCCCGCCACTCCTCAGTGCACCCTCAGGGAAAAGCAGTCATTCACTCCTGTCTCCCTGGTCTCTGTCTGCACTCCGTGTTCGCTCAGCCTGCAACCCAGCGTTTCTATCTCGGGCACACAACCCTGCTTTGAGTCTCTAAACCCTGCAGACTGGTATGGCTCCTCCTGTGGGAGGTAGGTGGGTCTCACCATGGTTCTACTGCTTGCTGGGCCCCTGCTCAGAGAGTGGTTGTCTGACTGTGCCGGAGTTCATGGTTTATGGCAATGCCAAGCTGAAAGCCCACTCCTGGGCTCACTGATTGCAGCTGGCTTCCCCGCTCCAATGCCTGGGAATTGTGCTGCACTCAGGCACCCCTATTCTTTCTATGACCCCGGGGATCCTGTGACCACACTGTCCCACCTAGGATTCTGCCCTGCTTTGCTGCCTTGGCACCTTTCAGGCAGGGATGTCCCTCACTGGAGCAGACTTCTAAACGTTCTGATTTTATGCTCTGCTGCTATATCACTTTCTGATATAGCCTCTGGAGGCTCCCTCCCTCTGTGGTTTATCTTCCGATATATCGCCTCGGATTCACTTCTCTGCACCTCCTACTTTGCAGAAAATGGTCCCTTTTCTATTTATAGAATTGCAGCAATTCTTTTCTTAGATCTCAGGTTGAGTTCACAGGTGTTCAGAACGATTTGATAGCTATCTAGCTGAATTCCTGGGACCGGACAAAACTAAGGTCTCCTACTCCTCCGCCATCTTGGACTCTTCTCTCTGAGTGTTTAAATCATATTTAGTGTAATCATTTATACATTCAGATCTAGGTATACCATATTATTATTTGTTTCTATTTTTTCCTGCTTTCAACCATTTTCTGCCTTCTTTTTTTGGAACATTTTTAGTATGCTTGTAAATTTATTTTGTATGTATATTCACTATATTTCTGCATGTTTCTGGTGGTTGTTCTAAGGATTACCCTATACATACTTAATCTTTTACAGAATACTTATATAAATATTTTACCAATTCAAGTGGAATATAGAAGTTTTACCATTATATAGCTCTTTTTACCCTCCCTCTTTTATGCTGTGGTTTTCTTATGTATTACCATAACACACATTGAAAACATCAGACAATGTTTGTAAGTTTTGCTTTCAATGATCAAACATCTTTTAAACTTCCGAGAGGAGAATAATAGTTTGTTATATTTAACCTAGTCTTAATTATTCTATATTTCTCTTCCTTCATTCTTGACTGCCCAGATGTCTTTTGGGTATCATTTCCATTCTGCATGAATAACTTCTTTTAAATTTTTAAAAGAGCAAATCTACTAAAAATGAATTAGCTTAGTTTTTCTTCATTTGAGAATATCTTTATTCTCTTTAATTCCTGAAGGATATTATCATTAGATATAGGACTCTGGGTTGACAGCTTTTTCTTTTAGCATTTTTTTTTTAAATTTTATTTTTAAGCAATTTCTACACCCATTGTGAGGCTTGAATGCACAACCCCGAGATCAAGAGTCCCACACTCCACTGAGTCAGGCACATGCTCCTCTTTTAGCACTTTAAAAATGTTATTTATTTTACTTCTGTATTCCACAATTTCTGATGAAAAATCTGATATTATTCAAACCATAAAATGGGTTGTTTTTCTCTAGTTGCTTTCAAGATTTTTGTCTTTAGTTTTTGGCAGTTTGATTATGATTTGTTTCGGAGTAGATTTTTTGAGTTTATCCTGTTGAGATTCACTGAGCTTCTTGAATCTTTCTTTTGCCAAATTTGAAGGTTTTTTTTTTGCCACTATAACTTCAAATATTTGTTCTGCACCACACTTTTTCTCCTGCCTTACTGAGACTCCACTGACACAAATATCAGACCTCTTTCATATTGCCGCACAGGTGTTTGAGACTCTGTTCATTCTTGTTTTCCTCTGCTTGTTCAGATAATTTCTATTGATCTATCTTCAAATTCATGAACTCTTCCTCTGACAATTCCATTCTGCTCTTGAGCCTATCTGATGAGTTTTTTCTTTTTTGCTTTGGTTATTATATTTTTGAGCTTGAAAATTACAATTTGGTTCTTCTTTATGTCTTTTATGTTGTTTTCTGAGACTTTCTATGTTTCTATTAACTTCAAAAATGTTTTTTTCTTTGTGTGTTGGAGCATTTTTATAATAGTTGCTTTGAAGTCTTTATCAGACAGTTCCAACATCTTTGTTATCTTGGTTGTGTTGGCATCTATTGGTTGTCTTTTCCAAAGCAGATTGAGATTTTCTTGGTTCTTCATATGTGAAGTGATTTTGAATTAATATCATGGACATTTTGAATATTAAGTTATGAGACTGTGGATCTTAAATCCTTTGGAAAATGTTTAAATTTTGTTTTTGCAGGAATTTGACTTGGTTTGATTCAGGCTACAAGTTTCAATCAATTTTCTGTGTTTTATAGTTTCAATGTCAATTTGTTTTTCACAGCCTTTGCAGTACTATTCAGAGATATGGGACATCCAGTGGCCAATCTGGTGGTTTATCTTAGAGTTCAGTTCTCAGAATTTATGGTGTACTTTTTAGGGTCAAATCCATGTAGCTCAGGGTGAACCCAGGAGTTCATAAACAATGTTATGAAGTTATTTTCCTGAGCTCTCCCTCTTCACAATTTACTTGTTGCTTTATAGTCTCCTAGAGCTCCTTTAATTAGTGTTGGATTTGGTTCTGATGCAGTTGAATTACTTGGAATCAGTTGGGTCCTTTTGAAGCTTGCTTTTTAAAGCTTTTTAATGATGATCTCAGAGCAGCTTTTATATAATTTAGCTCTACTACTAAGGCAGCATTCTTCAGATGAGTCTACTGAATGTCCCATGTATTATGAGATCTTTTTGCTCTGGCTGATGGAATCACAAATCATTCTCAATTCTAGTGAGCTACAGGAATTGTTCTACCTATAATTTTCTGGTAATTCTTTCCTTGTCGTTGGGTAGTAATCTTCTCATGTATGTGCGGGTTAATACTTAGCCAAAGAGTTAATGCTAATCTACAGAACTCAGTAGTTCTCTCTTCTTTGGCACTCTACTCCCATATTCTAGATTCTTTGGCCTTCCTCTTATCTCTGTTTCCTCTACTCATTCAGACCATCAAGCTCTGTTCAGGTTTTACTTTCCTATGCTGTGGCATGGAAACTACATCCAGACAGTAAGCTGATGCAGTTGTAAGGTTTCCAGCTGGTCTGTTTACCTTCTTTAGAGGATTACTTAGTCCTATGCTGCCTATTGTCCAATGCCTGAAAACTGTTTTTTTTCCCCCACATAAATTGTCCAATTTTTTAGTTATTTAAGGCTTGAGGGTAAAGTTGGTCCCTATTGCAGTGTCTTAGCCCAAAGCAGAAGTGTCAAAGATTTTATTTTTTTTACCCATTCACTAGCCTATTTCTTTTTGATAGAACCTAGAGATCCATATCACCATCTTTAAAGATTTCCAAACTTTGTACACCTAAAACTAATACAATGTTATATGGCAACTTAAAAGAAATGAATTAATTTCAAAAAAGATTTCCAGACATTTAAAATCCAAATATTTTCCTTTACTTGTTCATTTTAACACACACTAAACTAAGAAACTTTCTGTTTTTTCTAAGTGAAATGACTTCATAGTCAAGATTGTACTGCTACTCTGTTGAAGTTTCTTGGTTTTCTTTGATTTATTTGATGAGCTCATGGAGTTGTTTTGAGGATCAAGAAGTATAACATTTGAAATACTTTAAAATGTGTTATTCAAATGTAATGTACAATTCTGAGCCATCAGGTGGACTTTACAAATGAAGCCTTAGTGGACATTGTATTAATATTTTTCTAAAGATATTATTTATATAAAAAGTTATTTTCCCCCCCACAAGTACTGAGAATCTTTAGGAGAGTAAATATTTGTATTTTGATTTTATAAATAAAAATTTCCCCACTACAACTTCCTTTTAGTTTGGTATGCTCATAATTAAGGGATTTGTAACTGTATTGACATGTCAGCCTATTATCTTTCAAAATTGGCAAAGAGTGGGGAATGAGAACTATGTGCTTTAGGAGGCTATCACTTTTGATTCAGTGTAACTTTGAATAGCTCTGGATGGAAGAATTTAAATATATTAAACCAGAAGATTATATTTAACCTAGTTAATAGTTCAATCTTTTGGTTACCACCTCTGTAATTTTTTTAACATATTAACTTTATGTATTTAAGCAACTGATAATTTCTTGAATAGCTTTCATGAGGACTTAGTTGTTTTTTTTTTTAAAGAACGATTTCAAATTGTACAGGTAAATGAAATAATTAAATATGTTTCTCTTGCTTAGCAATTATGGAATGGTCAGCCTTGGATGAATCTCCTTCTAATAGAAAGTTATCAAATATATCAGAATGCTATCTACAATATAGGAAGAAAAGCACTTTATCTTCCAGACTGTTTGAACCATCGTTATTCCCAAAGTTAAATAGAAAAAACCTCCAACATCATAAAATTATGCAGGACAATGATCACTTTGAATTTAAAAGATCAAAAAATCCTTTGCAAATAAAAAAATTCCTAAATGGGGTTGATAGCAGTAATACAGGATTCCAGGAACCATATTCAAAGGATGGCATAAACTTTAAGAAATATTCAGAGAAGATTGAAATTCATGACTCAAAGTCTATACCACGTAACTTGAAGAGTATTACAAGCCTCAAAAAGTCTCTGGATAAAAGTGATACTTTTAGTATCCCCAAACTTCAGAAGCCAACTCTGAGAAGGCATTCCAGCCCCCTAAAACAGGTTTCATTAAAGGAAAAAGCTACAACGAATGCTCTGGGTCAGTATCATATACGTAAGTCAAAATCTAGGTCCTTGAGTTCTTGAGTTATCACGGAAACAAGCTGAATTAATCAGTTACTAGACAGTTGTATGCATTTCAATTGTCAGTACTTTCGAATAACTGCCACTTCTGGTCTATAGGCCAATGCATATAACACTGCGGTTTTGATCGTTGTGCCTTTCCGGATGCTCCCTTTTTCAGATGCCTAACTTTGACTGAGAAGCTTATTCAGTGATTAACTGGACTCACTCAAGTTCCCTAGAAAATAGAGGGCCTGTTTTCTTTTGGAAATAGTTATTTTATAATTTATTTAACAAAGTATGTAAGAAGTCTATGTGAAATTTTTGCTCAGGTTCCATAATTTAAATATATGATATCCATGTCCAGTATAATATGATAATACTTCAGATATTATCTCTTAGGGATGTGGGAACATCAAGAGAAAATTAATATTAAACATCTCAGCCACCCAGGGATTTATGGTCTTCCTCAAAGATGAGCAAGGTTTCCCAACCCATATATGTTTTCTTCCTTCTGTGGTACCTCTATCACAGAAATACTGTGTATGGAACTTAATTAAATACTCCTTCCTGTAATCCTTAGCTGAAGTTACTTAAGTTATGTTTATTTTCTTTAAAGAAATGTAGTGACCTTTTTATTACACTTCATATTATGTGTAATTGCTAAAATGAGTGCTTAGTGAAATATTAGTGATTCTTATACAGTAATGCATGTTTTCAATAATTCAGTTGAAAAGGGAGTGTGCTCTATTAAGGAGGCACAATGATGTTTATTTTTATTCCTTTACCAACGCACTACTATTACTCTGTGCCCCATTCCTATTTCTGAGGAATATATATTTTATATATATATATTCCAGGAAGAATTAAAACCCTGCTAAAAGAATAATGGAGTAGTAGGCATTTAGCCATTGAGTAGAAGAAGACTGTGGAAGAAAGTGGTTACCTATCTTCCTGGTGTCACTAAAATCAAATCACCTACCATTGCCATACTTAATGTTCTGTGTATAGAGAAGTGTGAAATAGTTTATCTGGTATAAATTCTCAAAATAAATTGATGGTAATTGAGCATCTATGAAATGTGACTGTCACTTGATTTACATTTTAAACATTTTTAACTTTTCATTCAAAATCATTAAATAATTTTAAAATCATAATAATTACACAAAAGTAAAGACATTCCTATTTACTCCTCATCTAGTTTTCCCACGTGTTAAGATCTTGTATAACCACAGTAAATGCACTAAACAAGGAAATTAACACTGATACAATATTATTTACTATTCTGAAGACCTTATTTGATTTTTTCATTTGTTCCATAAATGTTCTTTGTCTGGTTCAAGGTCTCATCCAGGATCACACATTACATTTAGTTGTCATGTGTCCTTAGTGTCCTCCGATCTGGGATGGTTTCATGATTGTGACACTTTTGAAGAGTATTGACTAGTTATTTTGTATAATGTCCCTCATTTGAAGTTTTCCTTGTATTTCTTCATGAATAAGTTCAGGTTATGCATTTTTGGCTGGAATACCACCAAAATGATATTATACCCATCCCAGTGCATATTAGGGGGCTTATCATAAGGCCATGTATATCTACTTCTAAAATTTTATGATTTTGACATTTGTGAGCTGAAAGCGTGGTAGACTAAAGTGATGGGAAGGGGAAGAACTCTCATTTTTTGCTTGGAATCCTAGAATTTGAACACACTGATGTTTTGATCTCTTGAACTCATTCATTATATTTTAATCAGAACCACGCAGCATTGGCTGAGCCACTTGAACAAGTTGTTCCTCCAAACAAGTAGTTTATAAATGTTTATAGAATTTTCAGTATTGTTTTCTGTTTGAACTATAAAGGAAGTATTTAGATATAATGTAAGATACAACAGAAATATGAAGAAAAAAAGCAGTCCTATGAAATAATATTAAGTAGATAAAACTTGCTTTCTGACTACTAGATAAAGATTTTGGGTGCTAATTGTTGCTTAAGACACATAAATTCTGTTGCTGAATAATACTTTACATTTTGTATATTTAGAAAACATCTGTGAAGCAATCAGTAAACTCCAAGAAAATTACATCGCTGCAGAAGAACTTAAGTCCATTTTGCCTTCAATAGGAATTACTTTATCAGACAAAGTGTTCAAGAAGATTGTGACAGACACTACTCAAAATGGTGAGACTAATAATGCCAAACTTCTTGAGAAAATAGACACTTCTATGGGATAGTTTTAAATGATGGAATAAGTTCTCTCAACTAGGAGTGGAGCAGAATGGGCTAAAGAAGATTGTAAAAGAACAGATATAAAAATGGAAAGTAGTATATAAAAAAAAATTTCCTGGAAAGTCTTACCTAATGGATTGGTTTGGAGAAGCTAAGCCTTTTATATCTCAATTGTTTATGTAAGACTCCATGACTATCCCTAGCTATGCCTGCTAGTATGGGACAGGTACTGGGGAAGTCTGATCCAGTTGTAGGTAGGTTCAGGCGGTAAGACCACAATAACCAAGGGGTACAAAAATCTCTAAGCAAATAGCCTAAGGATCCAAGAAGAAAGGATTGGAGATTCCAAAATGGAGAAGGAGTGCTACAGCTAGGAATTTAGGGCTAGTGCTACTTAAACAAGAAGGCAGGCAGTTAGCATCTAGATGATGTTAAATGGCATATCCCAGTCACCAGCCTAAATTCAATGCAGAGTTTAAATTTCCAGGAAGGGTTGTTGTATTAGAGAAGTTGTTTTATCATTAAGAACTGTCCATAGCAGAAGTTCAGTTGAAGAGAAGGCAGAGGCAACATTTTGGGGAAAGAATGACTTGGGAATATGTTAGAAATAAATTCTTAGAACCTGAGCAAAATTTCCTAGCTAAAGCAAAGAGAAAGAAGATTTGATTAAAAAAAAAAAATCTAAGGAATAGGTGCTACTAAAATTATTGAGCTCTTTATGTTGCTTATCAGGATTGGTATAAGCACTGTGGAGGGTTTGTACCTAAAAATAGATAATTATTTGGATTAGCTGGATACTAGGGGTAGATATGGGGACACTTGGGTATGTAAGGACTGGTTAGTATTGTCAAGGTATCTTAATGGATAGCATATTGACTGGGTTTTCATGATGGTATGAAATAGACTCAAATTTCTCATGGTCCATCTATATGGACACTTTTCCTTTTTCCTATATCTATCAAGAACTGAGTGCCTAATCCAGTCCATTGCACTTTATAGTAGATATTTAAAAATTGTTGAGTAATTGTTGAAATGAAATGAACTGACCTAATTTAGAAAGACTCATCTAGGGAAACAAGATATGAAGACTCAATAGGATGATGATGAAGTGAAGGAGAATTCTTTCATAGTTGTATTAAAATATGAATTTACCTTTTATGCAAAAACACAACAGAGTGCATATCCAACTCTTTATTTTACAGAAAGTGGAATGGTGAACTTAGATGACTTTATGAATGCTCTCGCCATAGAGCAAAGTCTTCCTGAATATGATGGTAGGTGGGAAGTTTATTTTAAAATGATTTGGAGGAAAGAAGCAGTTAGGTTGAAAAGAGTTAGGTTCAGCTGAACTGAGTTTGCTTTTCAGATAGAGACTTAATAGTCCTGAAATCCTCAGGCAAGCCATTTGCCTGTTTTTTAAAGACTTGTTCTATCAAGGTAATAATAGCTAACTTGCTTACTTCAGAGTTGTTAAGTGGGTTTTAAAAACTGTAATACATAAATGCACAGTAATAGTAAGGTAATGAGGAGATGAAATAGGTACTTAGCTTCATTCTTAGCAATTGATGGATGATTTGATTTTTAATTTTTTTAAAGATTTTATTTGTGAGAGGGAGACAGAAAGAGGGACAGCACAAGCAGGGGGAGCGACAGGCAGAGGGAGAAGCAGGCTCCCCGCCGAGCAAGTAACCCAATGCAGGGCTCCATCCCAGGACCCTGGGATCATGACCCGAGCCAAAGGCAGATGTTTAACCAACTGAGTCATCCAGGTGTCCCTGATTTTTAATTTTTTATAAGGAACTTGTTTGAATGAAATACTAGTTTGATTTGTCTTTGTTTTAGAGCATTTCTAAAAGTAGTTCTATTGACATACAATTTACATACGTAAAATTCACCCATCCAATTTTTTTTCCTTCCCCTCCTATCTTCTTCTTTTTTTTTTCTTTTATTTTTCTTAACATATATTGCATTATTTGTTTCAGAGGTACAGATCTGTGATTCAACAGTCTTGCACAATTCACAGCGCTCACGATAGCACATACCCTCCCCAATGTCTATCA